TGGGTTTCTGAGGCAGTATCACTATGGAAGTAGATCGCCCCATCTTCCTTCCAAGGAGTTGCTGGTGGGTTTGAACCACCAGCCTTCTGGTTAGCAGTCAAATGCCTTAGATGCTACGTCACCAGAGCTCCCAGCCAAACAATAGACAAGCCTATAAAATGAACAATAACACCAGGGAAGAAGCACTCCTTGGTATAATCAACCATACAAGACCAGATGGGCAGCCTTTGACCAAAAGCAAAGCTCAGAAGGCAGGAAAGGATGAACGGAAATGAGGAGCCCAGGGAGGTAGTGGGAATAGTACTGTTACATTGAAGTGATTTTAACTAATATAATGAAACAAAATGTGTATAAAAATTGTTGAATGGGAAACTAATTTGCTCTATAAACTTTCACCTAAGCCACAATAAAAAGTTAAAAACAAACAAACAAACAAACAAAGAATGCATAATGAATATGATGCTTGACGTGGTTTTCTTCTCACCTAAGAGGGTTTGGATCAACTTCAGAGCTATGACTTAGAAATAAAAGATATCAAAAAAGATAAATTCACTAGGGAGCAGTCCATGGGTGTGGGAAGTGGAGGATCCTTTTTGATGACAAGCATTATCTGCAGCTTCGTGATGAGGGTAGGTGTCATACAGCTGTAATGGTAAATGAAGCCAAAGCCATGGGCACATAGCCTCAGCAGTGGTGAGGTGCCGAGCATGAGTTGATGGTCTCAGTCAGCAGGAACCACAGGCCAGAAGGACAGAGAACTTGCTCATGATCATCATATAAATCATATGATCATGTAACATATTGTTTATTCTCTCTGCCATGACCTCTCTCTTCTCTTCTGCAGCAATTTCCCCCTGGTAAGTTTATTCTTCTCACTGCAGTGGTCATCACTGTATTTGGCTCCTTCCTCCCATTCTTTTCTCTTACATTTGCATCATTACTGCTAACTTGAAGATTAGCTCAATGGAGGATAGAAGCAAGGCCTTCTCCACCTGTTCTTTTCAATAATAATGGTAAATTCTATTATACAAGACAGGTTTAGTCTGCTATCTTAGCCCCTCTACAATTTCTTTGTGTAACCAGGCCATATCTTTGCTGAATTGCATTATAACAGTTTTTTGAATTTCATAATCTATAGCTTGATAATTCTGGAGATCAAACAACAACATCAAAAATAATTCTAAACAGAAAATCTGCAGGGATGCTAGGAAGTTCATCCTTTTGTCTCTTGTCCCTGGACACAGATGGTCCAGGGAGTTAATGTAGTGTCAATATCATTTTGCATTTCCTTGATAGGTACTGTATTTCAATTTTTTAATCTACAGACTGAAGCATGTAAGAATATAATTATTATTATGTTGTTGTTGTTGTTATGTGCCATCAGACCGGACCCAACTCATAGCGACCCCTCCTTGGGTTTCTGAGGCAGTATCACTACAGAAGTAGATTGCCCAAACTTCCTTCCGAGGAGTGGCTGGTGGGTTTGAACCTCCAGCCTTCTGGTTAGCAGTCAGGTGCCTTACGCACTACGCTACCAGAGCTCCCACATTAATTTTTATTCCAAGCTTCCATTTGTATGTGATGCAAAAATTTAATACAGGCATTTAACTATGAGCAAATGGCAGTAAGAACCCAATTGCTGTTGGTAAATGGTAACCCCTGGCTTCGTAATCAGTGTCACAACTACATAACTCTCACCAGTGGTGAATTAGGATAGGGTCTCTATGAGTCAGAGCCAACTTGACGGCACCTAACAACAACAACAATGACAACAACAACAACAAATAGAAGAGGATATATTGTCATATGTAGTATCTATAGCAATTTGAAGATATGGAGACAATGATAGTTATAAGGAGTATGTAGTTTGAGTTTAGGAGCTCTGGTAGCATAGTGCCTAAGGCACTTGACTGCTAACCAGAAGGCTGGCGGTTCAAACCCACCAGCCACTTCTCGG